GTGAGGGGGGAGGTGGGATGAATGAAGAGGGAGATGAGGTGAATGGGGGGAGACGGGGTGAGTGATGGGGGTGTGGCTGGGGCAGGGCCTCCCTGGTACTCTGTTTTCACTCACTCATCTTCATCACTCTGTTCCCCTCTCTCCACAGTGAGCCTCCAGCTAGCTGGCTGCAGCTGACCCTGGCCGTTCCTCTCCAGGATCTGAGTGGCATAGAGCTGGGCCTGGCTGGCCAGAGCCTGCGGCTGGAGTGGGCAGGTGGGGCAGGCAGCTGTGTGCTGCTGCCCCCAGATGCCCGGCGTTGCCGGGCCTTCCTAGGGGAGCTCCTTGGTGAGAGATGGAATGGGAAGGCGGGAGGGTGGGCAGGGCCCTGGGGCCAAGCTCCCCACCTGGTGTCTGTAGCAGAGACAGAGAAGGGAACAGGACTCGCCTCTTGTAGAAGCTTCTGAAATCCAGCAATGTGGAGAACAGGAAGGGATTGAGAGGTGGTGAGTTTGGGTGGAGGAGAACAGAGCCGTCTAACATTCCTGGCCTGGCTCTGTCTAGATGTCTTGCAGTCTCTGCCCCCTGCCTGGAGGAACTGTGTCAGTGCTACAGAGGAGGAGGTGACCCCCCAGCACCGGCTCTGGTGAGTTGATAGGAGGCAGAGGCGGGGGTTGCTGCCGAAGTCTCTTTCCCCAGAGCCCCAGACACCCCAGTGCTGAGTAGGCCCTGGATAGCCACCTGTCCTCATGCCATGCCCCCCAGGGGCCCTATGCCTCCTCCCAACCCACCCACAGGGCTTTCTTCCCCCTCTTCTCCCTGGAAGTCCTTTCCACCCCCAGCTGATCTTCCCGTGACTACCATGTTCCCCCTAGGCCACTGCTGGAGAAAAACTCATCCTTGGAGACCCCCCAGTTCTTCTACCTTCGGGTGTTCCTGGTTGAAGGTGAGGCCCCTGTGCTGCTGATGCTTCCCTGAACTCTGTACCTGCCCTTGTCACAGGCCCTGGCCCACCCTCAGCAGCTGTACAGTGCCCTTGTAGCAACTGTCAGTTCCTGGAACTGGACTTCTCTCACTTGAGGCCATAGCCAAGTAATGGCCTCAGCCTGTCCTGCCTCAGGGTGCCGTTCTCTCTGGGCGGGGTCAGGAGGCTCCCGGGGTCCTCAGGTACACAGAGCCTTTGCTTTTGGGCCCAGGCTTTCTTGAAGTGGAACAGCCGTGCTGAGTCGGCCCTGTCTCATCAGTCAGAGAAGGCGAGGGCGCAGCCTGGTTTCTGAGTAGGGTGGGTGGGGCAGTGGGAGTGGTAGGCCTGAGATGTTGGAGACTAGAGATCCCTGGAGCTTGGGAAAGGGAGCGTCTCGTCCCCAGGGGCACAGGCTGCTGTGGGGCCCAGCTTGGAGTGTAGCTCCTGTCTCTTCTCCTCAGCAGCACTGGGACGCTGGCCCCAGGGATCCATCCCCTCCATGACCTTCCACTCTGGGTGCCTCTCTTCCTCCAGGCTCTTCCACCTGCCTTGTGTCCCTGTTGCTGACTCCATCCACCCTGTTCCTGTTAGAGGAAGATGCTGCAGGGTCCCCAGCAGAGCCCCCTCTTCCAGCAGTGGCTGGCGAAGCCTCAGAGAAGGTGCCTCCCTTGGGACCGCGCCCTGCTGTGCGCATCCGGGAGCAGCAGCCACTTAGCAGCCTGAGCTCTGTGCTGCTCTACCGCTCAGCCCCAGAGGACCTGCGGCTGCTCTTCTACGATGAGGTAGGGCGTGTGTGTGTGGAGGGGGTCGGGCAGAGGGAGGAAGGGGAGATGGTGAGCACAGGTGGAGGCCAAGGGCAGAGTGGGAAACGGGTCTAGGAACCCTGCCATTCGTGGCAAAACGAGGGTTGGAGGAACTGGGGGACTCTGGGCTTGGATGAGCACCAAGTCAGGGAGGGAGGCAGCTGTAGGCGGGGGAGGCACCTGGACTGGGAGCCCCAGCCATTGACGAGCCACGAGGCTTTCAGTGAGGTTTCCAGCTGCTCTGAGTTGGCAGGATTGGGCCGGCTATGTGCCAGCCGTTTGGTCTTTGTGACACCACCTGAGGAGATACTGTTACTGGTCCTGTTTACAGATGAGGAAACTGAGGCTTGGGGATGTTAACCAGTTTGCCCAGGCCACAAGTGTGGAGCTGGGAGTTGCATCCACACAGTTCCTTGAAATTGAGTCCACATCTTCTGTACAACAGGGAAGATGAGAGAGATGGGTCCTCTGGAGGCTTTCAGTAAACGTGGACTGGCTTCTGTTTACAAAGCTGAGTCAGGATCTTTGGTGGGAGCGATGGGGCTGGAGGAAGGGGAGAGGCACTGAGCCAAGGCAGAGACAGCGAGGCTTCCCGGAGACCTTCCCTGTACTGCCCCCCCAACCCCCCGAGCCTTGCCTTGCTGACTGCTCAGTCTGCTAGGTATCCCGGCTGGAGAGCTTTTGGGCACTCCGTGTGGTGTATCAGGAGCAGCTGACAGCCCTGCTTGCCTGGATCCGGGAGCCGTGGGAGGAGTTATTTTCCATCGGCCTCCGGACTGTCATCCAAGAGGCTCTGGCCCTTGACTGATGAGGCTCCCACAGTGACCTTGGCTCTGACCTCAGGAGCCACGCTGCAGACGTTCTCTCTCCTAGTCTCTGGGTTTGGCTTCCAGACTCTGGCTGTGGACTTCTCCAGCCTCTGGGCGCTGTCCAGTGAGACCCCAAATGACCCAGGGTTTAAGGGAGAGGTGAGAGAATGGTCTGGCCTCGGGACAGGCCACATTGTCAGGAGGAATCGTTTTCCTGCACTTTTTCTCAGGTATCAATAAAGTTATTTCCAACTCATATGTCACGTGTGGTACTTAGATGTGTCACTCTTAAGGCTTGCGGTTCCCTAACCTCTTCTGACAGAAGCTGTCCTGCCCCTCACCTTTCCTGAATGGGCAGCTCCAAGCAGCCTTGTTTGTACCATGAGACCTTATCTCTAACCCAGCTGTGGTCCCAGCATGGAGGATCAAGTAGAACTGACCCACGGGTATGCAGTCCCAAGCTGGCAGTGAACTGTCATTTGGCATGGCATGGAATTGCTACTAAACAAATAGCCAGGCCAGATGGATTCCTGCTCTCTTGAATTTTACGTGGGAAGCAGTAAGGACTTCAGGACATCGCAGAGGGTGTCTGGGGAGAGGGTGTGTGGAGTGGAGCAGTGACCCCTGGTGCTTCCTGCCATTGCCTTCTCAGTGCCGCCCCAGCCGGGAGGCCTGGATGGTCAGCCCCACTCTTTCGCCTCTTGTCTTCCTGTCTGGCCACAGTGATGGTTCAGGGATACTCATGTGACTTGGTTTGGCTTATGAAGGCCCAGCGCAGGCATTTGACTAGAGCAACCAAGGAAGAGGCAAGTTTCCTCTCAGGGTTGCTGAGAGAATCGGCCTGGACCTGCTTGCTTTGAGGTGAGCGCTTTCCTGAACGTGGAATCCCGAGAGAGAGGAAGGCAGGGCCGGGTGGAGAGAGCACGGCCAGATCCTGGGGATATCTTTGGAGCCGCTGGGTCTAGTTGTGCCTGAAGGCAGAAGCCCCTGGGATTTAAGGTAACGTGAGCTAAAGGAAGCCCTTCCCTCTTTGTTTCTATGGCTTAAGCTAATTTGAAGCAGGTATGAGCCACCAAGAGTCCCAACTAAACAAACCCTGACTCCAACTTGAGCTGGGCTGAGATCTGTTTCTTGTGCCCAAGAATGAACACAATGGAAATCATTACACCCACACAGTTGTGTGGAGAGGTCCTGGTTCCTGGTTTCTGTTGTGAAGTGAGGGGGAATAATTAATCCAGCTCACTTTTTGTGTCAGGCCTAAGGCCTTGACCACTTTGTGACTCGACTGCTTGGCGGGACAGCAGGACTGGGGCAGTGTCACTGTGGAACCTTCCACCTGGAAAGGATGCGGGGAGGGTTGCCTGGCTTATCCAGCCCACTACATCCCTAAATCCATGGGGTAAAGTATTTAAACATTAAAACGGGTAATTTAAAATCTGGTACTTGGCTGGGTGTGGTGGCTCACGCCTGTAATTCCAGCATTTTGGGATGCGAGGTGGGCAGATCATGAGGTCAGGAGTTCAAGACCAGCCTGACCAACATGGTGAAACCCTGTCTCTATTAAAAATAGAAAAATTAGCTGGGTGTGGTGGTGGGCACTTGTAGTCTCAGCTACTCAGGAGGCTGAGGCAGGAGAATAGCTTGAACCTGGGAGGTGGAGGTTGCAGTGAGCCAAGATTGTGCCACTGCACTCCAGCCTGGGCAATAGAGTGAGACTCTGTCTCAAAAAAAAAAAAAGAAAAAAAAAATCCTGTACTTTTACATGTATTTAAATACTTAAAATTTATTTAAAAGATAACATGTACAGGAAAAAATTACGTGGCACTGAAGAATGTAGAGTGAGTGGCTCTCATATGCCTGAGCCCCTAACTCCAATCTTTAGATTAAGGCTTTCTTACCTGATTTTTGTGTATCTGCTCAGAAATCTCAGTGCATATACATATTTTTCCCTAGAAAAGGGTACGTAATTAAGCCACTCAATTCCATTTAAAAAGATTGATTTCTAAGATTAGTTTCTCCCCAGCAGGTCTGGTCTGTTTTGGCGGGAGAGTGGGGAGGAAATGGTGGTAGTCATGGAACCGGCGATTTGGGAAATGCTGGCTGGGGTCGAGGCCCCTTGAAAACGCCTGCAGAGGTTGGGGACCCAAAAACATCTGTACAGAGGCCCAGAAAATATATTCACCTACTTCTGTTTTGCTCAGAGCTGCCCTCAATTTTTAATTGAAGCAAATTAAAACTTCCCAAAAATATTAGTCCACTTTCTTGGCAACGTGCACACCCCTTTCTCGGTCAGTGATTTTTGTACCATCTGCAAACAGGAGCCAGTGCTGGTCCCGAGGAAGGCCTTCCCTGGCCAGAGGCTGCCCTTCACACCAGGCCTGTTTGCAAGCACCTCCCCAGAAGCCGGGTCAAGTCAGGCCATGGCGCAGATGGGGCAGAATAATCTCCAGTCATCCAGGGTGATTTGTAGAGGAGTGCGACGTGGGGCGTGGGAAGAGAAGCACCTTCCATTTCCTGGTGCTTATCCTCTCTGTGGTGAAGTGTTTTCTTTAACAGTTCGGTGGGGTCTTCTGCAGCCTTTATGCAAAAGTGCTTTTCCTTCGGTGACCCAGAAGACAGAGGTCAAAGGTGAGGCCATCCTCACTCCTGGAGGTATCTGTCCCTTTAGTTCTGCACCTTGCCAGGGGCAGGTGGCCCAGATGCGCCTGCCCCTCCAACCCTCTGTCCTGGAAGCGAAGGTGACTGCTTTCCTACTGGCGCTCAGCACAGGTGTCAGTAGGAAACACTTGACACTGGACAACTCCCAGAGATTGATTCCTCCCTCCGGCAAGTGCTTATTGATCGCCTGGCCTCTGGCCTTGGGCTTGCTGGCATGAAGGACACAGGCCTCTGGCTCCTGGAAAGCAGTGGAGAGAAGGTATCCTCTCACCTGAAACTAAATCCCAAGGGAGAAGCAGGAAATTGGTGGTGAGGAATGAAGAGGATGAGGAAGAAGGGGCGCAGAGATGGGTATTGAGGGTTTTTTTGTGTGTATTTAAAAATCCTGTATTACACATTCAAGGATTATATTTAAAAATTTATATAAGGCCATATGGGGGTTAGTGACTTGAGTGGTAGAAAAATCAGTGACTAAGACTTCAGAAGCAGGGAGCAGTCCAACTCAAAGGACCCATCTCTTTTTCTCTCTAGGAGAGGGTCTGTCTTTGCTGATGAATCATGTCACATGGAGCACAGGGTGACATCCTCCATCCTTGTCAAGATGCTTCGGTAGCTTCTGAAGGGACCCTACCCAGATTGCTTGGCTGTGGTTGAAAATGCAGCCATGGTTCTGTGTGTTATGTTTTCCGATTCACTGAGTACATGCACTATTTCACATTTATTCATCTACTCGAGGGGTGGTGTGGCGTGGCTGTGGTATAGGAAAAGACACGGTGGATTTAGATCTAAAAGATCCACGGCGATGCCTTAGTTTTGTGGCTCCATATCTAATCAAAGGCACAAGGCTCACTGTGGCTCCATCATCTACTGCATGGGGATAAGACTGATCAGTAACTTACCTAGTTCACAAAATTGTTGCATGTAATCACGTATAGGGAGGTACTGTGGACCATAAAACATGAAATAAGTGCTGGTTAAAAACCTGCCTAGGCCAAGCGCCCTGTAATCCCAGCACTTTGGGAGGCCGAGTTGGGAGGATTGCCTGAGGTCAGGAGTTTGAGATCATGGCCAACATGGAGAAACCACATCTCTACTAAAAATACAAAAATTCGCTGGGCATGGTGGTGGGCACCTGTAATCCCAGCTACTTGGGAGGCTGAGGCTGGGAGAATGGCTTGAACCCGGGAGGCAGAGGTTGCAATGAGCTGAGATTATGCCACTGCACTCCAGCCTGGGCAACAGAACGAGACTGTCAAAAACAAAACAAAACAAAAAAAAAAACAAGAAACAAAAAACCCTGCCTATTACTTACCACAAGCTGCTTTGTTACCTGGGAATACTCTGTAATCAAAAGAGGGAAGGGCTGGGCGTGGTGGCTCACGCCTTAATCCCAGCACTTTGGGAGGCTGAGGTGGGTGATCACCTGAGGTCAGGAGTTTGAGACCAGCCTGACCAACCTGGTAAAACCGCCATCTCTACTAAAAAGTACAAAAATTAGCCAGGCGTGGTGGCAGGTGCCTGTAATCCCAGCTACTTGGGAGGCTGAGGCAGGAGAATCTCTTGAACCCACGAGGTGGAGGTTGCAGTGAGCCAAGATCATGCCATTGCACTCCAGCCTGGGTGACAGAGCAAGACTCCATCTCAAAAAAAAAAAAAAAAAAAAAAAAAAAAAAAAAAAAAAAAAAAAAAAAGGGAAAGCCTGAATTTTATTGCCCAGGTGTTTCTAAGTGGATATTTCCTCAGTATGTTTTGGAAGGAACCTCAGACGCTTCTGGGGCTAGGAGTGAACCATGGCATAGTTGTGTATTTGGTCCATCTTGTCATTTGATAGTTTTGTACTTGGTGACTTCTCCATCCTTCACAAAAACATTCTTCAGTTTATTAGTTACTATAATTACTTGTGCACTGGCTTTCAATGCCACAGACATTTATTGAGCTCTTAAAATGTGCCAGGCTTCTATATGAGAAGATGGGGGCAGGGATCCAAGAATGAATCGGACATGCTCCTGCCTTCAAGGAGCTTATGGTCCAGGGAGGGAATGGGGAAAGGTGCCTTGGAGATGGTCATGAAGGCTGGGTAAGGCTACAGTGGGAGAATATTGCAATAGTGACTATTTCTGAGCACCTGCTCTAATAATTTTGTTCACATTATTTCACTCAGTATGACCACCCTGAATGAAAAGTGTGATCTCCATTTCACAGGTGAGGCAGTTGAGGCTCAGGCTAAATACAGGGAATCTCACCAAGGACATACTAGATCTCAAACTTAGCCCATCTGTCTAGAATCTGTGCTGTTTCATCTCAACTGTATTGCCTCTCAGGGCTTCCAGAATGCCCACCCTGCTTCACTCTTCAGTCCCTTTCCTTTTATTTATTTATTTATTTTGACTGGAGTCTGATTCTGTTGCCCAGGCTGAGGTGCAGTGGCATAACTTTGGCTCATTGCAAACTCCACCTCACAGGTTCAAGCAATTCTCTTGTCTCAGCCTCCTGAGTCGCTGGGATTACATGCACCACCATGCCCAGCTAATTTTTGTATTTTTAGTAGAGATGGGGTTTTGCCATATTGGCCAGGCTGGTCTTGAACTCCTGACCTCAGG